GTGGCCATTTTTCCGCCCCTGACACGTGGTCTGTGGCCATTTTTCCGCCCCTGACACATGGTCCATGGCCATTTTTCCACCCCTGACACGTGGTCCATGGCCATTTTCCGCCCCTGACACGTGGTCCGCGGCCATTTTCCACCCCTGACACGTGGTCTGTGGCCATTTTTCCGCCCCTGCCACGTGGTCCGCGGCCATTTTCCACCCCTGACACGTGGTCTGTGGCCATTTTTCCGCCCCTGCCACGTGGTCCGCGGCCATTTTCCACCCCTGACACGTGGTCTGTGGCCATTTTTCCGCCCCTGCCACGTGGTCCGCGGCCATTTTCCACCCCTGACACGTGGTCTGTGGCCATTTTTCCGCCCCTGCCACGTGGTCCGCGGCCATTTTCCACCCCTGACACATGGTCGTAGGGAGGGGGACTCTCCCTCCAAGCAATAGCCGCCTCCCTGTCCTCCACGCCAGAACGGATTAACGGTAATTACATTGAACCTTATGGGGAAATTTGCTTCGGGTTGCGACCAATTCGGATTGCGGCCAGAGTCACGGAACGAATTCAGTTCGTAAACCGAGGTTCCACTGTACTTAAGACTTGTAAGTAGATGTATGGTAGAATTTAGTATAAGAGAATAGGTTGCCATTTTGTTTTGCTCACATCTTTGTATATGTTAGCATTAAGAAATGAGAACAAGAATCACTGTGAGTTTACATTTAACAGTTAAATAATTGCACAAATTATATACTATAATATTATTGTTTGGTGGTTGTCCTTCAGTCATTTTTCAGACATTTTTATATAGCTTTATTCCCCTTTGTAGTGCTGTGCCTGGCATGCCATTTAAAGATGGAGGTGATCCTCGTAACTCCAACTGCACCCCAAGTTGCACAACCTTTATATAAACAAAAGAGAAAAGTATGATTGCCATTTGAAGCAAGAAGGCCTTTGCCAGATTTACAGCAGCTACTGGTGTCTGCTGCCATATAATGTATTCTGTGATTTTACTTTCTAAAACTGCACTAAATGTTTCTTTAACAAGAGAGTAGTATTGAGCAAATGATAAGCATTAAGTCTCCCATCCTTATTAATATTAATATGTGTATTTTTCAAGTTAATACAAAAGGGATATCCTATGCTTTTTATTTTTTAACATAACCATTTAAAACTCAGATATAGATGGTTGCAAGAGCTGATTATTATGGGACTTTTTAGTGCCTTTTTAATGACACTGACAAAGATACCCCACAGAAGTTAATATAAATCACATATCCTATCATACTTACCTGATTTTCAGGTAATTACAACATATACTTAGCATTTGTAACTACAGCATGTAAACAGAAGGAACACTGTAGTGTGTTCTTTTGTTTAAAGAAATACAAGGGCACCTAATTATTCTTGCTTAGTTTTTAATTTATAAAATATGAAGATGTCCACATAGAATAGTTAGTAAAGAAATGGTTACCTAAGTATTTGGAATGCTGGCAGTTGACTTGCGGTATATGAGGTATCCAGGGAGATCTATCATTTTATGCAGAAACAAAATTTAGCTTCCTTTCTGTGAAAGTAATAGAGAAGACATTTACATGTAATATAAACACACTGTTATCCTGCAAATAGTTTTGTTTTCTATCCTTCCAAATAAAAGAATATTTTTCAAAATATCTGTTCGTAAGTGTATAATATTTGTGACCCTTTATTCTAGTTAACAGTCTGATGTCTAGCTGTTAGATAAAGCAGTGTTTCTCAACCTTGGCAACTTTAGGATGTGTGGGCTTCAACTGGCTGGGGAATTCTGGGAGTTGAAGTCCACACATCTTAAAGTTGCCAATGTTTAATCAGTAAGAGTGACAAAATAGCTGTGAGGTTGAGAAAATCTATAATGTTTGAGATGCCCAATCAGCTGTGCTCATTTTCTCTCATTATCCACTAATAGATCTCTGTCATTTTCTACTGAGAATATGTTTTATTCTCTACAATTATTTTTCTTTAGACACATTCTCTATGTGTTAATTGTACAATGCTGAGCAACTTAAAGAGTTGTTGCTTACTCCTTGTTGTAACTTACTATAACTGGAACTGTCTTGGAGATTTCATGGAAGCTATAGTTATTAACTGGGCATAATTTACTAAAGAGAGACAGTTTGACGTAGTGGTTAAGATACCATGTTAGAAACTGGGAGGCTGTGATTCTGTGATTCTAGTTCTGCCTTAGGCACAAAGTCAGCTGGGTGACTGGGCCAGTCCCACTCTCTCAGCCCTTGGAAGAAAGCAATGGCAAGCCACTTCAAAAATCTCGCCAAGAAAACTGCAGGGATTTGTCCAGGCAGTGGCCACGAGTCGACTGACTCGGAGGCATATGTACACACCCCAAAATCACTAAAGGTTGTTTGTTTCACATGTTCTGAAAGGCAGCGCCAAAGTTTTAGTGTATTTAAATAGCTTAGATCTCTCTGTTTCTTTATCCTCCCACATGACTGCCCAAACCTTATATTCTTTATCACTCCTCTACTCCTCATAAACACTAATGTTAGGTGAGCAGCAGTGAGAGGCAGGATGTTCAGCGGCTTTGCTGTGTCTCTAGAATGCTCACTTGAAGGCTGTCTTGGGACCAGCTGTGCTCTTCTATAGTCAGGCAATCTTTCCTCACCCAGGCTTCCCAGCATGGCATCATTCTATGTTATATTGATTCTCCTTTTAATATGTTGTTCCTTATATTTTTAATGCTTCATTTTATGTGAACTGCCCTTTGAGGGGAAGAGGCCAGTATATAAATATTATATCAGATGTCATATAAGCACATAGCATCACGAAAAGTAGCTGTTAATGTTGCTCTCCCTTGATGTCTCCAAATGCTTGCTCTCCCCACCCACTTCACTCCTGCTTGCTGGATTTTCCCCTGCTAATCTGTAGGGTGTCCTTTTTCCCTGCAAAATTACTTTACCAGCATCTTAACTTATTTGGGGGATCTCTTTTAGTATGGGAGAGAGGGCAGACTCGAGTGACATATTGCAGAGCTTCCAACATTTCATTTTCCAGAAAATTGTACTGGTATGCTGGGAGAGGAGAAAAAGCCTGGAAACCAGTGTATTTCTGCTTTCCAACCATGTAAGGTGTATAAAAACCTGAAGGGGCAAGAGGTAACTAAGGATACTGTTACGCCTGTGGGCGCTGCCTTGTCAGTCACAGAGTAAAGAATTGCCCAATATACGTTGCTTTTAATCATGACTGGGGCAGAAAAGAAATAGTGGGTTCCTCACTATATATACATATTTAACTTCCATATTTATTTAACTCAGACAAAACATATTTGTTTATTGCTTTTTTTTGTTCCTAGGGGAAATGGTATCTGCATCGACATTAACTCCTGTATTTTCTCCCTAATCCCTGTTTCAGATTATTGCATATTTTCATAACCTATTTTTCATTCCATATATTTTATATTCACCTGGCTTGTTTGGGCACTTTAGTACTGCTCATTGATTAATCTCATGTCAGGATTAATCAAACTGTAGAGATGAATAAAGTAATACCAGTATTATATGTTATATTGAAAGTTTGTGAGAATCTTCCTTGTGGTGAAGGATTTATTCTTAGGAAAAAAGGTATATATGAAATGCATGTATATTTAATTCTCTGTATTCTCTTTCTAGTGAAACCAGCAGTGTCTGCAGCAGCAGTGACACTGGCCTTTTCACCAATGACGAAGGTCGCCAAGGTAAGAATAGGCCATGTCCCTATTTCTTCTTTAATTTAGTGCTTTGAATTATAAATCAGGCACAGGTAATTGTAATCAATCACTATAGCAGAAAAAGAAAAGAAGGAAAGTTTAAAGTATTGTTTGGAGTCTGGGCTCTGATTCTCCCCTCATCTTTAAAAAAGTCTTTGATTCCTGATTGCTCTGTAGGGTTTGGGGGGTTTTTTGGTTTCGTTTTTTGCTGTTCTTTAAGGGCCAGATGATATGACACTTTGCTTTTTAGCCTGTGTCGTGGCTCTTTAGCATTATACCTTAAAAAATAATCTGGATTACAGTGATCATTTTTCATTCCATGCCATTTATTAAAGCAAAGGTGAAAGTGCTGTGGCCATTCATGTTTTGCTGAACTTTAAGTCTCAGCAGCCCAACTAAAATGGGAGGGTTGCTGGGAGTTCCAGTTCAGTAATATCTGGGGCGTTGTAGTTTTACTATCCCTGTAATAATGTAAATAGATTTAAAATGACCTAAAAAGGCAGTGACACATAATTAAACATGATTGTCTCTTCTAAAGATGGCAATGAGTTGTGTAAGGATACCTAAGGGTTCATTTCGGTGGCAGATGGAGGTGTCCACAGATAATTATAGAGACATCATGGTATGGTACCTGTTATCATAATTTAAGATTTAATGGTCATATATACTGTAAATTTAGGCATAAGGGACAAATTTATCTTAGAAGAGTGGTTGTCAAACTTTGTGATAAGCCAGGCCCCCTAAAATGATAAATGAATTTGTGTGAACCCTTCATGAATAAATCTAATGATTTCATTGGTGTTAGGTCTGGGTGAGAAATAAATATACGGTTTTTAAGAATTACATTTTAATTGATATATCACAAAAATTCTCAAGATTTGTGGAATATAACTTCAGGCAAAATGAGCAGCAAAGCCCAGGGTAAGTTTTGGCAGCACTGAGGCTTTGCCTGTTTACATTAAAAGAAGCACTGTCAAAACATGCTCCCAGATTGTCTGGGCAAACTGCAGCTGGTAAATCCCTGAGTGAGTTTTGACCATAGTCCCACTTTGCCTGTGCAAGCCTGATTAAGATTTTTTTTAAGTTGTGACCTGTTCTAAATTGTCCCCTACCCACAGTTTGAGAACTTCTGCCTGTTCAGTGGTTCTCATTTTTAGTGTATAAGGGGATTCACAGTATGAATATATTGGGATATTTGAATAGCTTTTTGTTTCCTTCATAGGTGATGATGAGCAGAGTGATTGGTTCTATGAGGGCGAATGTGTCTCAGGATTCACAGTCCCCAACCTTTTGCCCAAGTGGGGACCTGACCGCCAGTCTGATATGGAACGAATGGACTCGAGCCTTGAAAAAATCTCAGAGCCAACATTCCTTCTGCCCTCTCGGCCTGTTACAAGAGGTGAGATTCTTACAGAATCCTTGTGGATTGTGAATATACTGTAATCACATTTGTAATGGGCACGTGCAACTTTCAGAGTATATATTGGTGAGTATAAAATAGTAGTTTGGATTATAGTGTAATGTAGAAACTAGAGGTCACAGTATATACCTGAGAAAGCAATATGAATTTGTTTGCATACATTCTCATTGATATAATAGAGATATATTCTAACATGCTAATTTTGTCCTGTGCACATGAATTAATTTCAATTCTTTTACTGTAAGGAAACTGCTTGCTTAACATTTATAAAATAGACCCTATAATCTACAGCACACTCTTGTCAAAAGAAGGTGCTGCAATATACAGTGCATTCCTGTCTTGCGGTTACCCTAGTTCTTTGGTCTAGCTGTGTAAATATACTGGAAAATATGCCTAAGCTCCATGAAATAGAACCTGGAAATCAGGAGTTGATCTAGATTCTTGTTCTTTCTTCTAACTGATTCTGTTTGTGTTTTTCATGGTTTCTTCATTATACTCTTCTTTCTTTTCAGGATTTCACCCCCGCTTGAACCGTCTTCCCAGTGTTGCTACCCGCTGTCTTAGGAAGGGCCGTAGAAGGCTGGTTAGCAAGGTATTGCTTTACAGGGGATGATAATTTGTTTAGCTCATAATGTCAAGAAATATACCTGTTGATGAAATGTTCTGTGTAGTTCATTCTAGCAGTTTCAAATGCGTATTCATATAAAAACTCTAGTTATGTATAAGCTATCTTGGTCATTTTTTTTTAATGGCAATAAGATTCTGTTGGAAAACAATCAGTTGTTATGGAAAGGAGGCTGACTGAATTTGAATGTGTGCAGTATAGAAAATCTGCAAACAGAAGCAGGACTATTGGTGCAAAGCAGAAAGGAAAGGCCTCCTGAGATGAGGAAAGCTATTTTAACAGCTGGGATGGAGGAAATAAATATAGATTGACATATTAGTGTGGTGCTTGTATTATATTTAAATGCTGAGAGTTATGCCTGGCATCTGCAAGGTATTTCATTCTTTAGAGCTATACATCCAAACATTTCTTGCCACCCTTGGAATCCTTTTGTGAAGCTGGAATTCTGCAATCTCAGTCTCCCACATATTAAGCAGAAAAGTTGTGGGGAAGTTTAATTTGCAAGCATGTATAACGAGTAGTTAGACTCTATGCAGTTTGTTTTTATTTTAGGAATTTCATTTGAGTCTAGAAAGAAGAATCCTGTGTGTGAAAAAGGTTTGTCTCATCACTTAATTAGCCTGATGTATAGGAGAACAGCTACTTCTTTACTTTAATGTGCCCCTTCCATCTTCAACCAATTCTTCAAGCCCTTTCTCTCTACTTATCTTATCAAGTTAAAGAGTTGAAATATGTCTTCAGTGATGGTGAATATTATGTCTTGGGCAAGGACTATTAGGCCACTGGTAAAGGCCTAGGGTCCTAAGCTTTTTAAAGGTTCCTCTAATGAGAAAAATAATATTTACTTGTTTAATTCATCTTCATCACCTTAAAGGGATCTATGTCATTCGCAGTGGAGGTCACTGCTTCCCCTCCTCTCTTCTCTTCTAAATTGTAATAATAAATAATGAGTTTCATTCAGAGCTCCCTGCCAGCAAGCTGCTAATTACCCAAAGTATGGCTTGTAATTTACACAGTAATAAACTGTAAATTTAAACATTACGGCACTTTAGGTTAATAATTTCTCTGCTGTAACAAATAGCTCATCTTTCACCCCTGCTGTGCTTTCTCACAAGCCTTGCATTTGATGGTGTTCTATGGTGTTCTCTGGACGCCAACTCACTTATATTTTTATTGATAATGAAATCCTAATCCTAGTTTTCTGGCAGTTTCTCTATATAGAACCCAGTAATACACACTACAGTATATGAATGTGAATTTCTAAATGTGACTTTATTTCCTAGGGCAATGGTTCTTAAACTGTTTGACCCAATTACCCCTTTTCCTGGTCTTGAATAATGTCATTACCCACACAAAAAAACAGAATCCATAGTTTTACATGAGTGTCTTGGCAGTGGCAGTCCCAAACTAGATTCTTGACTCACAAACATGCAATTACAAATTGCTCCATTATTCCCAGGATATGCCCAAACTACCACCTTGGGAATAATTAACCCCAGTTTAAGGACCACTGCTGTAGGAGCACACCATATTACATACCTTTTCTTCTAAGACTGATTCATATGAAAGAATAACTTTTGTGGAACTGTTGGGTTGTAAGAAATTGCTCAAAGTAGAATAGCCTTGCAACAGAAATGGCTGATAATTAATTGTTTAGGGATTGTGTTACAATTAAAGAGGCATATTTGGATGGGTGACAGACTTTGTTTCTTAGACTTGGACCTAGTCTTTGATAATGTTATTTAATACGTACAAATAAGAATAAACTAATCAGCTTTCACATGAGGGTTCTGCAGTTAACTCAAGGTACTTAATGGATTGTAAATAACAAGGGTAGAATATGAATAGCCATGTATATGCACCTTCTTTTAAAAAACAAATGTGACTCGAGCTTTTCAGTTTTCATCATTTCCTTAGTGAATTAATGTGATGCTAAATATGTCATTAGAATGAGAAACCAGGAGACTGTGAGTTCTAGTCCTGCCTTAGGTCTGAAAGCTGACTGGGTGACTTTGGGCCAGTCACTCACTCTCAGCTCATGACATGAGGCTTGGGTGACAAGCTGGTCAGCCAGTTCCCGTCGCAACCAATGGATCAACATTTGGTTGATCCGAAAAAAAAGTAGACCTTGTACCTGCGGGAAAAATGCTAGGAAGAAAAAAAAAATCATTAGAATCAACGTCAGTTCTTAATGTGATAACATGTGCCAATGAGAACATTTTCTAAGGCTAATACATATGGAGGGGTAATTTTTATTGGAGCATGACTAAAGAAGGAAGGGTTCAATTCGTTTCTAATACTACATATAAAATTAGAGGGCAGATAATACCATTTTAAATGATGTATTCAATTTATGTGTACTTTAGCTGTACGATGAGTAGAAACTAAAGGTATATAATTGATGGTAACCTCCTCCCCCTAACTTTCATAGCCCAATAATTATCATAAATGTTCCTTTCTTGATTTCTTGAATGGGATAGAAAACACAGGAATTCCTCACTTACTGACTGCCTCGTTCAGTGACCATTCAAAGTTACAAAGGTGCTGAAAAAATAACTTTACAACCAATACCTACATTTATGACCTTTGCAATGTTCCTCAGTCACGTGATCACCATTACAGTCAGTACGCGTTGTCTTGTGCCTGACCTGTTGTTTTTCTTTTTGTCTCTCTTTGCAGAGCCGAGAGATTGGAGAGGAAGTGATTACAAGAAAGTAAACAGGCATATGATGGGGAATACACATTGAAAGGAATGCAGTGGTGCCAGTAGCCTCGAGCATGCTCAGGGCTGGGAGCTGCAAGTGCACTACACAAACAGCCCGGTGTATTCCTCATGGTGTGCCTTCTTACTCTCTTGTAATCTCTTCCTCTACAATCTCTCTGTGAGAGTGAAAGAGAAAAAAATGGGTCAGGCACAGGAGAGACTGCTTACAGAAAAACAAGTGTAGAGATTGGAGAGGAAGGGATTACAAGAGAGTAAACAGGCACACCATGGGGAATAAACCAGGCTGTTTGTGTGGTGCGCTTGGGGCTCTCAGTGCCACCACATTCCTTTCCATGTGTATTCCCTGTGGTGTGCCTGCTTACTCTCTTGTACAGATAGTCCTCAACTTACAACAGCAATTGGGACCAGAATTTCTGTCGCTAAGCAATGCAGTCATAAAGGGGACTGCATTGCTTAGTGACAGCAATCCCTGTAGTCCCAGTTGCCGTCATTAACCAAATCCCACAATCAAATCCCACAATCGTTAGGTGAGGTAACTTCCTGCTTGCGGGAAGGGCGGCAGGCAAGTGGCAGCTGCTGGGTGGGGGAGGGAGTAAGGAGGTGTGTGAGAGGCAGGGTATGGGTTGGGGAGAGTACATGAGGGTGCAGGGAGGTGTGTGAGAGGCATGGCGCGGGGAGGATGCAGGGGAGGGTACATGAGGGCATAGCACAGGTTGGGAAGGGCATGTAGAGATGTGCGAGTGCCTGATGCAGCTCGAGCTCAGAGGGGCTGGGGGAGACTTACCCCAGTGACTTGCAACCTTCCCTGCTGGATTCCCCATTGACGGGGAAGGTTGCAAATGGTGATCACGTGTTGCAACTGGTTGTAAATGCAAACCAGTTGCCAAGTGCCCAGTTTGTGATCATATGTCTGCGGGGGTGCTGGGATGGCCAGAACTCTGGGAACTGGTTGTAACTACCATTCATTCAGTGCCATCATAACTTTGAACAGTCACTGAATGAATGGCCGTAGGTTGAGGACTATCTGTAATCCCTTCCTCTCCAATGAATGTAAATACAAACAATTCCCCTCTTGCTAATTATCCCAGCACAGGGGTGAGCATTCCAAATGTCAGGAGGGTGGGGAAAAGGAAAGCACAGTCATGGTCATGTGATTTCCCACTTAGTGACTTTTTCGCTTAACAAAAGAGGTGCTGGTCCCCATTGTCGTCACTAAATGAGGACTACCTGTAATATAAGCCAATGAAGGAAATGAAATTGCCACTCACATATCGTATATCAGTTATCTGTTGAAAACTAATGAATAGAACTTAGGTTCTTGGATATCAGTAAAAAAAAAACACTTTAAGTATTTTAAGGATGCTTTATTTTGTCAGACAGCATAACATGTTTATTTTACTCTACAAGGATTTTGATATATGTGTAAGACTGAGGGTCAAAGATAGCTAGAGGCATGCCTCTTCATAGAACAGAAAGGCTGAGTTTCAAGGTGGAATATGAAAAAACATATGATTTACAGTCTGTCAGAATATTTCAGTTATAGTTAAATCTAACACATTTGATTTGATAGTGAGATTTAATTTTAGCTTGGAACACAGGACAAGCAGCCAGACAAACATGGCAGAATTTGGCTCATCTTATATGAAATACATAGAATAATATAGCTTATACCAACCTCAGTAGAAGTAAATTACAGTTCAGATATTCTAAGATGCTTGCTGCCTCATTCTGTTTTTTATCAAAGTCGGAGACTAAGTCCATGTATGGAGTAATATCTTCCTTGCAATCTAGATAATTTGTACAATGTTGTATTACAATCCTATACATGTCTGTTTGAAAGTAAGTTCCATTGAGTTCAGCGGTTCAGACTTCCAGGAGAAAGTTCATAGGCTACGTTTTTCAACCATGTTCATACTTATGGTTGAGCTTTTGTATAGCAGTAAGACTGCCTTTTCTTAGAGCACTCAAAGAAAGTGAATCAAATTCAAGCTGAGGCCTTATTATTATCTTGGGATTGTTAGCTATAAGCAGAGTAATAGTAACAAAGACACCATTGAGTTGAGCTTGAATCTTGATGACTATATGGATATGTCTATGTAATTTTCTTGGCAGAAATATAGAAGTGGTTTTCTCCTGACTTCTGGTTTTTTCCCCATCTTCCCAGGCTAGCCTTCAGTCCTGGGATTTGCTATGGTTTAATACTAGCCAGGATCCAGTGTCCTTAGTTTTTTGATATCATCAAGATGTTGCTACTTACTCCTACTTAAAGAGTATACAGTCTACTGAATAACTCTGTCAAAGGGAACAAAGCAGTGATTGTGTTGTTGCTGTTGTTGTTGTTGTTGTTGTTGTTTTTTGCTGTTTTACTGTCTGCAATTTTCTTGGCAAGATTTTCTGAAGTAGTTTGCCATTGCCACCTTCTTTCTAAGGCTGAAAGAGAGTGACCGGCCCAAAGTTACCCAGCTGGCTTCAGGCCTAAGGCAGGACTAGAATTCCAGTTCTCCTGGTTTCTAGCCTGGTACCCTAATTGCTATATCAAACTGGCTGTCTCTGTATGCTATAGGTAGAATGAAAGTTGTGTTCCAATGAGGATGAAAGTTAATTTGTAAGGCTGTTGCACCTGTATTCTTTAATTTATCAGGTTAATTTCACACCATGTAAGCATGAACTTAGAACAGGTTTGTAAAGGAAGACTGTGACTTGGGGAGTAGGACTGTCTGAGGTTCAGACTACACGGAATCATAGAGTAGGAAGAGGCTGTTTTACCATCAATTCTGATTTCATTCTCAAAGCAGAATTCAAGTGAAAGCATCCTAGAGAGGATAAAATTGAGTCAGCCACAATCATATTTAATGTGGGGGTTGAGGTCCATGTTATATGCAAAAGAAGACACATGGATGAATGCAGTTTGCATTTTGAACCCCCCTTCTTGTTAGACTCAGTTTTGTATTAGATCTTGCTTGAATATACCCAGTCAATGTGGTGCTAGCAGTTTTGTTCTGAAGTACCTCCCTACGACAAACTAAAACTCTAAAAAATTGCTGTGGCTGAATATTATTTTAAACTAGATTTTACTTCCCTAATCTACCATGCCTTGGTTGGTTCAGGAAGTAAACTATAGCTTAAAACTGTGCATTATGGCTGCAGCCTCAATCTGCTGGCCAATTTAGCACATTTGTTTGGAGGAGAATGTGATGGAATGTCCAACAGACCCTGGGGAAGTGAAGGAGGAAACAGGACCGTTGCAAAAGAGACACCTCAAATCTGGGGAGTGGAGAAGTTTGAGAAAGAGATTCAAAGCAACTCTGCTTTAGTTATGCTAGGCATAAATTGAGCAGGAGAATTTCTCTGATAGGCTTTCATGGTTCTGTTATACTAGCCTACTAGCAGTACTGATTTTTCCAGAAATCCAAGTGGTTCTTGTTTCTTGAGTTTGCCAGCCTCTCAGGGTTTGACAAAGGAAGGTTCAGCTCTTCTACTCTCTTTTAGCTCTTCTACTCTCACACTCTCATTCTTGCTACTGCAGTTGCCTAGTTTCACTATGGGGCAATTTTGCTATTCCTCCCTGGAGGTGGGTGGGCAGTGCTGAAGCAAGTGTTTTGGCCTTCGCTTTCCTCCCAGAAAGGAATCACAGAAGCTTAGTTTTGCTATGTGTGTAGTTATTTTTTTGTATGTATATGTGGGAATGAATTGGTGGAAAACAATGATGTTGTGTCAATTTAATTCATTTTTAAAATGTCCACATTTTTATGGGAACTGTTTTATATGACTAACCCCATTTTTATGGCAGCCATTTTGAAACTGTGCTCTGATACTGAAAAAGCTGAAAATGATTTCCTGCCCCACAAAAGACTATAGAGCTTAAAGCACACTTGTCCTCCCTCCATCCTTCTCTCCCTCCACCCCCCATGCCTTCTTACATGCTCTTTTTGGGTTAAAACAGTTCTTCTACCCCAGTCTACTTATATTTAGTTGAGGCTGACTTAGGCTTCAGTAAATGAGTCAGTGTAGTTTCAGCCTTAGTCTTTCCCCCTCTTACTTTGTGTTTCAGGAGACCATCATGAGTGCAATGGGTACTGAGAGGATTAGCCACATCATTGGTGATTCCTGCCAAAAAGAGTAAGCATCTGGGCACAGTAGATAAAGGTCTAGAACTTCGGGGATGGGCAGGAAGCAAATGTTCATAAGTTTATTATGATATATGGTCATAGATTAAATATAAGAGTTCATCTACGGAGGCATCCATAGGGAGTTTTGGGGAAGGGGGGCAAATGATGAAAGCAGTATCACAATGCAAGCTCCAGCCCTTTTGTTTCTGTATCATAGCATTGCCTGCATATATGAAAGCATCAGATCCTGTGGATGCTTCTCATAATATAGAATAAGATTTGTTCTTCATTTTATAGGATTGCTGGAAGGGAATCCTTTCAGCATATTTCAGCAAATAATGGCTCTGTTTGTTTGACTACCCACCCACCCCAATTCCGGGGACATTCCATCTTTAGTTTTTAATGGGGTTGCACTTCTGTGCAAGACTAGTGTGCAATCTGGGTTCTTTTTGGACCCACTTCTGCTCAAAAAGAAGGTGGCAGCTGTAGCCAAGATGGCCTTTACGCAGGTTCACCTGGTGCACCAGCTGTGCCTGTTCTTGGACCAGGAGGTCCTTCAGACAGTCGCTCATACTTTGGTTACCTCTAGATTGGGCTACTGTAATGTGTGGTACATGGGACTGCCCTTGAAAACCACTCAGAAGCTACAATGGTGTAGAATGCAGTGGTGTGGGCAGTGATATGTGTGTTCCAGTCCACACACGTGTCCCTGCTGCTTTTGAGCTGCACTGGCTGTCAGTTGACAATTCAGGGTGCTGGTTATCACCTCTTCAGGTCATAGAGACTGGATACTTGAGGGACCACTTGTCTCCCTGTGTTTCTGCCCATGCAGTGAGGTCAGCTAGAGAGGGCACACTCTGGGTCCTATCAATTAAGGGGTGTCACCTTGCAGGACCTAGGAAGCATGCCTTCTTGGTGACAGCTCCTGCCCTGTAGAATAACATCCCTCTGGACATCCATATTGCTCCAATCCTTTTGATTTTCTGCAAATTGTTAAAAATCTGATTGTCCTCCCAGGCCTTGGGTTTGGATGGTGGTTGAGCCCCTATGGTTTTTGATTCTGTCTTCTAGTCAGTTGTATTCTTTTTCTTTGATCTATGTTGTTTTCGTTTTGAGTGTAAGCCACCCAGAGTCATTGTGGAATTGGGCAACCTTGAAATTTAAATGAATAAATAATAGGGAGCTGCCACCTGAAGAAGCAATAATGTGTTTGCCCTTCCGTATTGATACTGCATGTGCTCTCCTTTTTCCACTCCCTTTAAAAATGGCTGTTGGATTGCTCTCCATTAATTGAATCATATACCGTAGTCTTTTGTAATGTGCATTTATTAAATGCGCAAAAGTCCAACACAAACTAATAAAAGAAATGTCAATGCTTGAATAAAGAGCATAGCCACTTAGTTACAATAGAAAGGATACTCTAGTAGTAACAATTTTATTTTGCTAGCAGATGTTCAACATTTCTGAAATAAAATTTTTCCTGGCATTAGATCATCCTAATCACAGATCTGGGTTGACTAATGTGTGAAATACTGAAATTTCTCTTTCTAAAAGAAAGCATATTTGTAATTTAGGGTGAGTGTTAAAGATAATGTGGCTTCCCTTGGATGTGCTTCATTGGATTGAATTTCCTGTCATCCATTAATATCTAGATTAATTCCTATTGTCTTATAATTAACATTGGCAAATCTATCTTACATGGATGTTTAATCTTCTTCTTTTCTTCTTTATGCATCAATTTTTCTTTGTTTCTTCTTTTCTTCCAACTCTATTCTCCTGCTCTCTTCAACTTCATCTCTCCTACCATCTCTCTCTAGTTTCTGGTTGCCATCAATGGGAATGAGAGATCGCAACCAGGTAAGCTGGCTCTACTTTGTATATTCTCTCATTTGATTTCTATCTCTCTAGAAAGAACAAAGTGCTGGCTTCCAATTTCTTCCACATTGCAGCCTGGGTGCAAGAGGTAAGGCAGCCCCATTTTTTGGTCCAGCAGACCTCTATGGCTCCTTGTACCAAATAGTACCCCAAAATGTTAGCTTTCTGCAATTTTCTTTTTAGCTGCAAATGTTATTTGCATGTTTCTGTCAGTTCTCCTGTATTTATGACTTTTCAGCCTCTGTGCAATCTTCTATTTTTTCTTTCTCTTACCATATTTTATAGCTACATCTTCAGTCATGCTAGTACCTTCTTATACGCAATTGTAAAGCAGGGAAACAGAGGACTTGAATTTTAGTTCAGATATTGTTTTATAGACAGAGTATTTACATTAGAGTACTACCCACCAGTTTTGAAATCTCAACTAAATTATACCTGTGTAAGTGTTAATTAACTTCTGAGTGTGCAGAATAGTTTAGTTCACTGACCATTGATGTTAGTAAAATGAAATCATATTTCCTCTTTTAATGGAAAAGCAACTCTCCTTTTCAACTTTAAATCAGCAGTGCTTGTCTTTGTTCAATACCAATCCCTTGTTTTGTTTCACTCTGAATAATGTTGAAATTTCACCAACCACTCTTTTTCAGGACTTATTTTTGTTTTACCAGTCTAGAACTGTTGAAACTCAGCTACTACTATCGGCCCTTTTTTTTTTGGTGAATTTGTACTTTTTAGACAGAGAGATAGACAGATGCAAATGAAAGGAGAGTTCCTTTGTGAATCTGAGGGAAACATCCTCTTTACCATATGTTTAGATATTAGAATCTGTCAGCAAATAATCTAATTTAATGGAATTATTTAATTACAATAATCCTGAACATTTTGTTTACTAGTTGTTTGTGTTACTATTTTCAGTTCTTTGGCTTTTACAGAAAGATCCTGTAGCAATTGAAGAATGTTGTATTCAAAGTTAAAGCAAGGATTTTTTTGAAGGAAACTTGAAAAATGTTTACAAAGTTAATTTGGAAGGAGATAGTAAGAGGCTTTAACATTAAATTTTGCAGACATTAATGAAGAGAGACTTCATAATACGTTCTTGTTTTATTGCAGTTTATGTTTTTCATCATTGTCTTTTGTCAAAAAACATTTCTGAAGATTGAGTTGATCCAAAAATTAAGCAAGGCAGTTAGGAATTGCGTATTTGAATGATTTCCTATCATGAAATCTTCATATAAATATACAAAGTTGATTTATCAGATAGAAATATCTAAGATAAATTGCTTCTAATATATGCACGCAGAAGTAGTTTTTAATGTACAAGAATGTGCCATTCTGTGGACTCCAATCCAGGAGGGCTGTGCCACATGCTTTGCTTAAGGTTTGAACAGCTCACAGCTTTTAAAAGAATTTCAGTTCCTGCCCTATTGTATTCTAGGAGGAAATCTATCTGTGAATTAGTTTTGGTATTCCAGTAGTTCATGTAAATAAATAATTAAAGGAGTATGCCTTTTAAATTGTTTTTTTTATAAATAATTTATTCTGCTGGTAAAGCTAATACATCTAGTTCCTTATGTCATTCTTAATAACAGTTTCTGTTGTTATGTTATGTCAGTGTCCTGTCTGTAATATTAAAACGGCATTTATGCAATTGGTTTTCAAGCTGTCAGGGTTCATGATAAGGTTGTCAACTGATATGTAAGAAACTATGTACAAATGAAAATATGCTTAATATCCAAACAAATGTCTTGGAAATCTGGGTTGGTGAAGATATATTCCAATTCTAGATGTATTATTCCTTATCTTAAAACAGGAGAAAAATATTTCCCTCTCAACATGGGATGGCATGTTAGAAGTACAGTTGGTGGATATGGGATGGGTTCAGAGTTGCCCTGCTGCTGGATGATACCATAAATGGTCATATACTGTGTAGGATTGTATTAAGGTAATTCAAGCATCTTTATTCAGATTATAACTTGGCATGCTGTTAACTGATTCTCTTTTAAATTTATAGTTCAATCCATTATCTCCACTGTATTCCTTGGATGTTCTTGCTGATGCTTCGCACCGAAGGTGCTCACTGGCACGCTGCTCAGCCAGGTAATCACATGTTCTGCTTTTGCGTCATAGGGAATGATATTTTTCTTTGTTGGCTTTGGGATATACTGTATATGTTTGAAAACATATATTTGTCCAAAACATTTCATTTCTACCATCTCTAAAGAGAGTCTTAGATGGATATCCAAGATGGACAATAATCATGAAAGTAAATACATGATTAACAACAGCTACAAAAGTGAAAGCATTGTATAAGAAAGCATTAAAAGTACCCACTATAATGAAACACAATCATACTTACGGCCGTTACTCCATGGGGAGAAAAGTCTACCTGGGGAATACCTTTATTGGGACCAATCAAATATTCATAATGACTATTTGACTAAAAAGCATACAATTTTAAAGAACTGTTCAGCTGACAAGATGTTACAAAAACCAAGGGATAGGGAAGAAGCAATAACATCCAAGAATGAGGTTAGATGTTTTAATCTATAAGCCCACAGTACGACTTCTGAGGAAGAAACGGTGGACTGAAGATGGCTCCATGAAAAGTGGAGCCAACGACTGCGGTGGAATGAAGACCTGGCTAGTGGACTAGCTTTTCCTAATTCCTCTCTGGGCAAGAAGAGGACTTGAGATTGCTCACAACTGCTCCAGACAGTTGCTCCTTGCAAGGAGACCACAAGGAGACCACAAGACAGTTGCTCCTTGCAAGGAGACCACAAGGTGGGTTTAGAGCTCTGGGAGACATGGGAATAACCATCTTGCTCAAACAACAGTCGGCGCCTTTAAAAGGACACTATATTCGCATACTTCCTTTTCTAATCACTTTCAGAAATTGCTTATTAACTGCTTTTCAGCTATTATGGACCTTTGGATCAACAAGTTTTATGGTACTGAGTGAGTTTCCTTTAATCCTTAGCAAACAAAGTTTTAAATACAAGTTTAAGGACTTAAAAAACGTTGGGAATAACAGCAAAAGGGTGATTGAAATTTTGATTTTAGAATGTTCATCTGGGTCCAGATAAATTTGAAATAAGATTTTGGAATTAATTATAAGAATTCTTCCCGTGGGAAAATGCTGTTGTTTTGAATTCTTTTTAAAAAAACATAATAAGACTTTAAAAATTGGACACTAGAGGGAACTAGAAGAAACTAAAGATCACAATTAAAGGAGAACACTTAAATTTGACTTATTAATAACAGAATGGAGCAAAATATTTTAACATTGGATATATTGAAGGATATTTTTGAACAATGGACTCAGAAGTTAATTTTAAGAGTGTCTGCCTCTATAAATAGACTGTGTTTAAAAGATGTTATAGAATAGGAACAAGTTTTACTGGACAAGACTGAGACTGATCTGAAAGTGAATTTAAAAGTGACATGCTACAAGAATAATATGGAAAAATGTGCTATACTGGACATACAAATGAAATCAGCTGATGTATTAATAATTAAAAGGGATATACAAATAACAAACCAAGAGAGTGACCTGGATAACTTTCCTATCTTGGATTTACA